TCAGACTTAAGACAGCTTAAGACTGGTTTTATACAGAGCAACTCAAGCGAAAACGCAAATAACAAAGTAGTGATAAAAATGTTAAAATATTTCCAAGCCAGACTTAAGACAGCTAAAGACTGGTTTTATACAAGTGCGATTTAACTCGATCTTGAGACCGAGTTAAGATTGTGCTGAGACATAAATATCGTTCATAAATACCAAACATTGATTTAAGTCGCACTTGAGAACTTTTTTATGCTTAAGTTGACTTATCTTTGTTCATAAATACGGATTAATGTTACGATGTTAGTTTAATTTACTTGGTGATATAAAATACATATTTTTTTATACTTATACACCATTAATTGTACTGAATTTAGGTTTGATGGAAAAAAGAAGTTGGGATTATTTTCACGAATGCGCGAAGTGTTGGTATCTGTTTTCCTTATAATTAAAATAAAAGAAAAAAAATGAAAAGGAAATAAAAACATGTATGCAATATTCTACTCCGCTTTAACAATAAAATCATTGTGGCATACCTAGTACTATACCGATTGTAAGTAAAGTATGGTCACGATAAAAAAATTAAATTGATTTTTTTTATGGCATATTTATTGTAATTCTATATGATTACGAGTCGTAAACGCAGTATAATATTGAATGATTTTTATTAAATAATTTCCGTGAAAATCGAATTTAATGTCGCTTTGATACACATATCTTGATACACGTATCACTTTATGCACATTTGCATAATAGGTAGGTAGGTAGGTACCTAAATATTAAACTACAATTCATAATCAATACAAAAAATAACTTTTTACGGTGGTTCGCATGTAAAGCACAATGTTTAAAAATTCTTTCTTGAAAATTGTATCTCACTTTAGACACAATTTGAAATTTAAAAGGTTACAGTTTGAACAGCTTAATCTATTAGTGTACTTACCTCTACAAAATTTCAGAATAAATACGTACTGGATGCAAAAGAGACGTCGTTTCAATGTCGAATAATTCAATAAGCACCTGTCTAGTAAACAAGCAGGATTGCTGCCTTCCGCCTAACGGGCCCCTGGCCTCTTTTATTTTCCTATTTAATACTTGGGTAAGTACCTGCGCTATTGACACGTGGAAAACAAGATCCGTCTATACAAATGAATAAATATTATTGCCAAACGTAAGTCGCACGTTTATTTTATGGTATAAACCCGTAAACTGTCGGACGTTCTATTTGATAAAAAGCTTTTGATCTTTGTAATTATACACAAGAAAAATTTTATTTAGAAGTAGTTCAGATGTTTTTTGAGTTGTATTTCTAATTGTATAACATGAAGGAGACTAACACTGGTAAGTATTGACATCGAAATAATTTCGAATTTTTACAATTCACTTTTACAACTTTTGAGCTACGCTAGGGTGCGTCCCGTGATTTTAACGCTATGCACGGCGAGCTCGCGAAACGGACGAGTACGGGCGGCCTCGGGTCATCGATTACACATATACTCGATGCCTCGGCCAATCGATTACACATATAATCGATGCCTCGGGCCGAAAACTACGCGCTTGGCGGCGCTTATTCGAGTACGTATAGATAGTTAGACCCCGCGTTTTCGCGTGTCGCGCCCTTACCGACCAGAGGCGGATCGGAACATGCGGCCACGGGCGAGCACGAGCGCGCTCGGGCGGCCCTCTTCCTAAGGCGAGATTGCGCGAAACGCGCGGCCCTGGCCGCGAAACGGGTCACGGGCTATGGGAAGCCGCGTCGACAATGCAATTCATATTATTATAATGTCACAATTCGAATTCTACCTAAGTAATTATGAATCTGCAGAAGTAACAGACAAGTTTTTCTATTTGTTTTCCGTTTTTGCTGAAATCAGGTATGAAACATTAAACCACAAATTATTTTTAGAAGCAATATTGAAATGCAGATAATGTTATCCGAGCGCACTTAAAAGGATACAAGAAATTGAACGCTTTTGCCAGTGGTGAGTGAAGTATCTAAACTCAAATACGTAAACACAATGTGTAACAAATTCAATTTTCTGGAGAAGTCTACTTTCTACTACTACACGATTAGATACCTACGTAATCCTTGTTGATGTTATGTATAATTTCGCAGATGTTTGGCAAATATATTTTTCAACTGAAAGACGCTACACGCAAAAACATGGCGCCTCGCACCGGTTTGATAAATAGATATAAAACGGTTGTGGTTTATTATTACTGCTCAAACCAAACATTACACATCATTCTTTGAAAGCAAAACTAAACATAGAGCGCGTTAACATCAACCATAAGTTGACTTTTACCTCAATGTGGAAAGAAGGGGCTAGCGGCAATACAAAAGTTTAGAAGTAGTTATCAACAGCATTATAGTCAACGTATCGACACACGCTTAAACAATTTTAGTTTCAAAGATCGTATCGTGTATATAAAGTAAACAATACTTACATCTCATCAGAAGGGCTGCTTGTATGTTCGAATGTGTTGTATATTCAGAGAGAAAGCTACCTAACCTGATTCGGTAATAATAATAGTCTCCTGGAATTTAGAGCCCTGATCATCATCTTAAAATCTAAAAATTAAATATGTAGTCTCGTTGGGCACATTCAGACGTGGTACTTGAGTATATACATATGATATGAGAAGATAATTTTAACCTTATTCTCTTACCAGTCCTAGTACAGTCGGGTCTACCATTCCAGAAGGTTGTGTCAGGATAGGTTTTGCCGTCGGGGTTGACACACCAACAGCCGGCGGAGGGTGCGCACTGTACGGGCGCATAGGTGCCGTCAGCGCGGCACCGTGGCACGAACGCCGCTCGACGCCCAGCGTTGCGCGTGTTCAATGCGTAACGCAATGCAATGAGGCACGAAGATTGACTCTCTGTACGCAAATATGTTCCTTGTCTTTTATAATGACCGTGAGTACAGCCCTGTAACTATTTACGATTTTCGTTATACGTATCTACCTAGGTATGTTGTACCCATTTTATAATGGAGCATTTCACATACTTAAAAAGTCACCAATTCTTATGGCAACTATATGTAAAGCCTTTAGTGATTGAGTCTCAGTAACAAACGCCTCACACATTGAATTTACGACACGTCCAGGCGTTGTACATCCAGCAAGGTCATCACACAAAGAAACTTTTCTTCTTACAGGACAAGGGGCAACTGTATACTTATTTGTTATTTGTGTTTCCTTGGCATGATTACCTTGGCAATAATATTGAAGAGTATATGTATTTTGTAAGTTAGATGCTCCGAGCTACATCATGCCCTGACATGATGAACCTTTTATCAGTAGAATCCGAAATGCAATTGTGTAAGATACACCTTGAGAATGCGTAACGCAAAGGTTTAGGCTGCTAGCATCAATTGATTAGATCTTGCGCAGATCGTTGGTGCGCATTTAGTGGGGGTGACCATCTTATTCAATTCATTAAAATTTTAGTTCAAACGTTTTAAGAGTGTTTCTTTCAGTACAATGAATGATCATCCATTAATTCACGGTTTGACGGCCTCAGTCGTCGAGTGGCTTGCACACCGGTTTTCATGGTGTCGCCATCCAGAGGTCATGGGTTCGATCCCCGGCCGGGTCAGTGTAGAAACTAACTTTTCTATATTGTCTCGGGTCTGGGTGTTTGTGGTACCATCGTTGTTTCCGATTTCCATAACACAAGTGCTTTAGTTACTTACTTTGGTATCACAGCAACGTATTTGATGTTGTTGTCTAATTCAGAATTTGGAAAGCTTACCAGCACAAGGACCCCTGTGGGCCAGAGCAACAGCTTTCGCCGAGCACTGGGCCTTCATGAGGTCACAACGTGAAGGGTAGGTGCGACTGTCGGTACCGCATACTGTTTTCTTGGCGCTGCCTGCATTCTGCTCACAGGACGCCACTCGAGCTAAGCACGTTTCGCTACTTTCAACGTTTCCCTGTGCGCAACGAAGGCAAAATTGATTATACGTACCAATCATATACGATCCACAGACGTGGGTACCTTCTAAGGAGAGAACTATATTAATAAAACGACAAGTATATATCGCCAGTTTTTCAAAATGTAGTAAGTTTTTTGTGATGTCAAGTCAAACATAGTGAGTCCTAAAGAAAAAATCTTTTTCTCTTATAAATCCAATCGCGTCTCACTATAGGAATGCAACATACATAACAAATACTTACACAAGTAAGATTCGTGTCCTCAGTTTTGTGAGCGTATTAGGTTGACTGTTATTCCTTGGTAAAGGATTTCGATTGTCCTCACCTCCATAATGATAATTTAAATTCAGTTCGCGACTACTACGGTGAGTAGGTATTCACAAGAGTTTTAAATTATTTTTGTAAAATTTATATGCTTTGTTTATTTAGCAGTTTTTGGAATATCCCCTATGTTTGCCTAGTGTAACGAATTTATATAAAAAGTATAACATATAATGTCTGAGAGGAAATAATGTTTGCAAAAAAAAAATTCCTCTTTTGATAACGCCACGACGACGCCACGCGGTTTCGTTGATGTCTTTGTTTGTCAATTGTCAATTAGAGAAAATCGACACAAAATGTAGTTATATTTTTACCCTTAAAGTATAAGACACTTACCTACATTTGTATAACAACTATATATAATCAATGTGTAATACTCGTAAATTCACTCTTTAGATAGAAGTTAACAACGAATAGGACCACAATAAGCCCACATAACTTGGATTCTAATAACGAACAGAGACGAGGACAATGGTGCGATATCCACAGGTCACATTATGCGTCGCGGTCATTTTACCGGCACTCCTACGTGTTTATTTTTATTAAAAAAAACCTATTTTGCACATAGACTGATACAAAAATATAACTGTTGAAAGTATACAAACTTTGTGTATTAATCCAAGGATCCAAAATTATGGGTTGATTCCATAGCAATGAAAAAAAAAACAGTACAATCGTTCAATTGTGAGCGCGAGGGAAAATCAGCGCATTTCAATACGACGTTCAAAACCATTAAATTAGTTATTGACTGTGACCGTTTAGTGACCATGCATTTTTGAATACTACACCCTATATAAAGCCGATTATGAAGATTTTCAAATTATTTGCTTTCGCTAGTAAGTAGCCTATATACTTAAAAGAACAAAAATTGATGTTTAATATCATTCCCAAAATAACAAGACATTGTTTGAGGGAAGAATAGGTACGTACAGTGGAATCACTGGATAAAAATGCGTAAAAAGAAGTTTTGATATATAAAACTTCAAAGTAGTCATGGCTACAATTAAATGCATTCTTAATTACAACGAAAATTAGAGAAGAAATACTGTAACTACGTTGGTAGCGCGTGTAATAAACCTCTTTTGTGAAGATGAGGTGGTTACAGAGTAATTAATTAGTACAGAAAGGTACTTACCTTTAAGTCTGATACTGCACCAGCGACACGATAGACAACGTTGAGAATAAGTATATGAAACACTACGAAATTGATATACATAATGTTGAACCAAGAGTATTCGTTTTTAATAAGTTAGTTGAGTTTATATTGGCTGTGTTTATTATTTAAAGTCATAAACTTTATAACCGTTCACAAAATAAAACAAAACATGGGTCAATAGTAACAAGAGATACAAAACATTTATTTGCTATCATATTTACATTATGCCCATGGACATCGATGGATTACAATATAGTTCATCGATGTATGAAAAAAACTTGTGATGGCTTTAGGAAGACTTGACACAAATGGATGCGCGGCCGGGACGTACGTCGGGAGCGAGAGTTATGAACAGAATAAAATACAATAAGGATAGATCCCGGTGCGCCGGCCGGCCCGGTCGCCTTGCCACGAGCAAAAAGCGCACACGCACCCCGCCCACCGCTTAGCTTATTCGCCTCGTTCGCCCGCCACTCATCGAATAATGATGCGCCATTAGCGCTAAAACCGGTGTTGATCATTCTCAAACACTGGTGATAATGTAGAAAAACAATCTTATGCTAATTCAATCTAAGCGTCTCGATCATTTCCTCTATGCGCCGTTCAGAAACTAAATCAGTTCATGTACGTATGGAATAAAAAATTACCAACCAATCAGATGTCTAAATCTACCTACCACGCGTTAATAAAGGTGAACAATGCTTCACTTTTGTTTTGTCCATCTTGGGCGTTTTTCCAGTCTCTAAAACCGGTCAGCTTGTCTTTGCAATGTAGGAAGTGCGAATTTCTATAGAAATAAATGCATTGAAGTGTATGGTGACTTACATAAAACGTATCCGTAACGTATACGTAAAGATGGACATAATATATCGTTCTGTGAAGCAAGCAATAACTAAAAGCAAACTACTTTAAGAACAGGTCAAATTGTAATTACGCAATACATTTTAGTCTATTATATACACACAATAAAAGTAACAAATTCACCGACAAACATAATCTCGAAATAAATTTGGACGTAAGTATATACGTAGATATACAAACAGTATCTGCAAGTATTATGACGCCAAGCGAGCGAGCATCTAGAGCTCCTTGTGAAAGAGTTCGTCTGGGGTAGTACTGCCACCTTACCTATTTCTGGCGCCAAGTAGTAATGTTAGCATTACAGTGTTCCGGTTTTGAAGGGTGCTGGTGAAATTACAGGCCTGGGACTTGCCAACTTATGTCTTAGGGTGACAGACGCAGTGGTAGTGTCCCTCAGATCTTTGCAACTTAAAGCTCTGAGTGCACTGTAACTGTTATGGACAGGCCTGTAGCTTAACATCAGGCGCACGACTTGTTCGTCTCATCACTTGATATTATAAAAAATTGTATTTTCGCCTTTGCAGAAAAACATTTATTGTACCTAACTAATTGTCAAGAAATTCTTCTTTAAATTCTACAAGCCCAATTTGCTCTTCAAACTCTGCTAACAGGGCGTTATCACGTCTAAGTAACGATAAGTATTAACTAAGTATCTAATGTAAAATAGCGTTTAATTTAGAAATGGTATACTTACTTACTCATTCCACTCGCTCAGCAACCAGAAGTGGGTCTTGGGCTCTAATACGAATTGGCGCTAGAGCGTCCTGTTTTGTGCAATCTCCTCCTAATTCACTGCGTGCAGGGCGCGGAGGTCTTTCTTTACTTCGTCCGTCTATCGGTATTTGGACCAACCGGACATGAACCACTAGGACGTCTCATGTATACCCTTTTCACCGCCCTATGAGCTGGCATCCTTTCGACATGTAGGTATAAGCCAACGGAGGCTTGCAGACTTGACTTTTCCGATAATATTAATAATATGCATTAAGATTGGTCTTGTGACAGTTTTATAGACACGGATATTAGTTTTCCGGCGCATAATCTTGGACACATGTATACTCTGTGGAGAGTTGCTGCACATCTTAAAGCTACCTGAATGTGAGATTCAATTTCCTCTTCCCTGCAGTTAGTGTTATTTATCACGCAGCCCAGGTATGTGAATTTCTCCACGACTCTACAGGAGACATCGTCTACAATCAAGTTTTTTCTAAGATTTTCTTATATCTCCGCATTGCAGGTACCTATTCTGTTTTATCTTTGCTGATCTTGAGACAACAATCGTCCAGCCTTCGTCCTTCCGAGCCACGCTTACTCCACGACAGTAACGCTGTTGTCGTCCAGTATTTCCACTTTCCTTATCTCGTGTTCGAGTGCTAAGTTAAACAGCAGTTAAGGTAACAATGCACCCACTTGCTTAACACCGATAATTACCTTAAACTTGTCCGTCAGCTCTCCTCCCTCTTTGATCCGTAACTTATTCACACAGCTATTAGAGACGGTTATAGTAACAACGTCAAATCTTAACACGACTGGTTACTTGTTTATTTAGTTTCTTGATATTGATATTTAGTGCCATTTCTTAAAAACTCAAATTACTTATAGAAAAATCATGATTCATGATTTTAATTTTTAGCCAAAAAAATTCGGCAGCCACTTTTGCGGAGAACGAGGCATCACACACAAATAAAATGCTTAATTACTAACGTATTTTTTAATTCCGTCTGTTATATAACTAAGCACGCTACATAATTAGGCAACTCTAGCAAGAATACAACCAGTCTCTCTCAGGTACAAGAAAAGTGTGATCTTGCCGTAAATAAGCTAGTGTTTGAAAATATCGATATTGTTCCTTCGATGATGAACTGGATGTTGGCTTCCTTAGTATATTTCCGTGGAGTGTTTTTTATTGTGACTTATATATCGAAGTAAGAATAGGAATGTATTTTGACGAAAGTGGTAAAACTTTGCGCTTGTGCATTAATAACTACAGTAGATGTTAAAGCGGCTACAGCGCCGTTGTACCCCCAAAATGGGCACCGATTTATACGCTATGAGTCCTACAATGGTCGTAAATATGCGCCTAAGTAATACAAATGTGCTATGCTAGCGGTTAATGCGCGCCTAAGTAGTACAAGGTACTATACCAGCGGTAATATTCGCCTAAGTATCTTAAATAAGTTCTTGTAGCGCGACTACAGAGCTCACATCCTATTTAGACGCGACTGTATTTCTGAATTAGAGCACTAGTACAGCAGTTATACAGATATACAGCAGCGATATTTTGGGGAAATAAACAATACACATTTAATTGTTCACAAAGACCGTCACCTTGCTAACTGGAAAGTGAGGTGACGGAGAATACGATAGCAAATAAAAAATGACAACAGTTTGATAAAATAAGATTCCCTTTTAATACATGCAAAATAAAAGTGCGAGTACCAGTTTATTGTAAATATATGTACACATACATTTTAGCTAAAACTTTACACGTCTTCTATATATGCAGTTTCTTGTATAAAATATACATTTCATTAGAATGTGTGAAGTTTGAATTTAGTTTAAATAAGACATTTTAGGTTTGTTGGAAGTTTCTTTAGGGTCATGGGTGAGAAAGAGTGAAGTGAATTTGGTTTTTATACATATTTAAAATATTAAAAAATATATAAATAACCTAAAAAATTGGTTTTATTAAAAACCGTAATGGCGTCTCGTTTACAACAGCCTTCATAGTTTACTAACACCGTTCTACCGATTTAAGCCGCTAGTATTCACCATTGTAGACCTTTCGGTTTTACAATTGTGGTATTAACGCGCTGTTTTAACGTTTTTAGAAGTACTCCAGCAGTTAGTATCTTCTTTTAAGATCCCAAGGTTTTAAGGCAGAGTATTGATATTTTATTATGGGCCATTCTCAAAAACGGACTTAAAATAATAGAAAAATAACAATGTTTTTTTATGTGTTTCAAAGTAGTCTCAAATGAAAGGTACCATATCCTACAATATGTTTCACTTAAGAACCTAGCTATTAAGTATCACTGTAGTTTTCATGAAAAACAGGAAAAAAGAAAACACGCCACCACGGAAGTGATTCAAGTCTATGGTAATGACATATTAGATTAATTTTAATGAAGTATGTATGGTTTACTGTAAAATAAAACGTATTTTTTACTTAATTATCTTTACTTACGTAATCTCTTAGATATTGATAAAATTTTGGGCTTTTTAAAGTATTAGGTATATTCAATTTTTTTTTGGAACTCTAACAGTCTTCTATTCAGTTTTTAATATCAGGTCACATGGGTACCAGTATGTCTAATAATAGTTTTTTATAATCAATATTATTTACTTAACACTTCGCACTTTTAGAATGAAAGTGGTCAATACAAAATTTTTACTTTTTATGAAAATGCAAAATAAGTTAAGATTTTGGGACATTTTCATATTATCTAATTTTCACTCTTGGAGTACAAAAGGCAATGGCCTTGTTAGTCTATCATTATCCATTGTAAAATAATGATGAAATATTCAGCTTTATATCATGAAAAATAGTTTAACAATTTAAATAAAATGTAATTTACAAAACACTAATTAAGTACTATAAGGTCACTTTTTACTGAAGTTTTTTGTTGTCATTTGACCTAATAAAAAAGTGAGCCTCTTCATTTTCACCAGATAAGCAAGATGTTATTACTTTATCAAAATTAAGCCGTTGTAATTATAAACGAAAGTCCTCTAAGTAATAAAGTTAGTCCCAGTGCCCCTGACAGGACGGGACGGCAAGGGATTTTTAGGTGACGTATAGTAATGTACCTTAAGAGTATGACTTCATAGTTGCAATTTTAGTGATAATGCGATATGATTATACACGCCGAGCCTTCAACCTCCGGAATGCCTAGGCAACCTCCGGAATGCCTCAGCAGCCTTATGGATGCCTCGGCAACCTTAGAGAGGCCTTGCCAGTTTTAGATATGCCTCGGCAGCCTTATGGATCCTCGGCAGCCTTGTGGATTGGCAGTATTATGAATGCATCGGCAGCCTTAAGGATGCGTCGATAGGTTTCAGGACGCATGCTCCGCGTCGCCTTTGGTCACCATTAGCTTGACGCCATGCAACTATAGCATTCAATACATGTCACGCGACGATGTAGCGACGGTATGCTTCAACACACCTAAAGGTGCCCCGGCATGTCTAAGTACACCGTGGCATATTTAAGGATGCCGCGACATAATTGCCGTGAGTGTGTGCTTGCATATAGGGTTGCTGAAGGATCGACTGCCGTCCCGTCCTGTCAGGGGACGCCTCTGGTCTAAGTGGTGTTAGTAAAAAAGTTTAAGGATGATTTTTTTGGAACGGAAACGTCTCAATTCTATTCGACTAATTTCACCACTATTTCAATAAGGGTGGTGGCGAATACTTTTAGCAGTCTTCAATCCAATCCTCTTTGGGTATGTTGTAATACCTTCTGTCACTTTGTGAATCAAGTCTCTTAAGCAAGTAATTTACCAATAGTGATGGAGATGAGTATCTGGATGATGAAAGAGATCTTGAAATAGAACAAGATCGTATGCTTGGGACAGAAACAGATGTTTGAAATAGAAGAAAGATGCGCAATCCGTTAATCGGTTGATTTTCGATGTCGCTTGAAGGCGGTGAATCATCACGCAGGCAGATTAAAAGCCTTTCCCTGCATGTTTTATTATCTCTGCGAATTTTAAGCCTCTTACGCCATTCCTTTCTCTGTTTTCTTTCTGACATTTGATCAAAGATAATACTTATTCTTTTCTCATTTTTGCTTTCTGTAACGTACAGTCAAGAGCACGTTAAGCTTGACACTTTGTACTTTGGACCGTTCTTATCTTAAGCGGCATAGAGTTGGATTTAAATCTTAAGTGTCAAGGTTGACGTGCTCTTGACCCCACTTTTATATTTTTTTCCCGACTGTTCCTCTCGCATTTCTTTTTCTTACATCTATCTCTTTCTAACATTTTTTCGTGGGTGCCATAATTATCTACTAAAGTATATGTAAATTAAATTAATTACGTTGATATTATATTAATTGCCTCTGTGGCCGAACGGTTACCATGCTGGACTGCCATGCAGAGGTCCTAGATTCGATTCTCGAGCCGGGAGAAGTATTTGTATGGCCTACATTTATTTATCTCGTGAGTAAGGGTGTAATTTGTGGTTGTCTATGTGCGTATCCATGGCACCCGCCACTCAGGGTTTCCCTAATGCGGGGCTATGTTGAGTGTGTGCGTTATTATTATTTAAGTTAATAAAGAGCGTCCATTATTATATTGTTACATCCATGGAAATTGTGTCACCTCCATGGATAGCCGTAATCCACGTGGGTGACGTACATGGAGGAGAGATTTTAAACTTAAATACCGCTTTTTCGTGACCTCAATTTCGATTTATAAAATACGATGAAATGCCTAGATGACAGCTATAATAGCTCATAATTTTACGATATCTGATAGATCTTAATTGAATAAAATAATATGATACGTAATCCCCAAAAGTAACCAAAATAGCTGGCTAATTTTTGATAAATCGTACTTTAAAGGTCAGTGCGCCAAAACTATTATCCCAGAAGTCGCAAACAGTCAAAAACTTTCAAGATGGCATTTTGTTTGTTGTCTGTAATTATTCATAAACTCTGTTGACTGATTCAATAAATTATGGCTGCTTTCAATAAGTTTATGCATGGAGGTGAACATTTTTTCATGCACAAACGTTATGAAATATTTTGAATCGATTAAATAATTAATTATGCTTTATTTATGTTGTAATTATTTAGTTTTTTTAGAAAATTTATTCTCCTTATTATAGTAAAATAATATAGATTAGTTTATTTATTACAGATAAATATATTTAATTTTAATTTGTATAATTGTAAATGGACTTTGCACACGACATGGAAGTGACATTTTCGTCACTTTCTTAATGATGATATAAATAAATATTTACATTGTGTAAATATAAATAAAAACCATATTAATAGTATAGTAATAGGTAGTTTATACTACCTTGATTAATTTTAAATAGGAATTGACTAAGTAATACAAGTATATCGTTTTTTAATACATATGCACAAAATAAAGTTGCAGAAATGAGAATGGTCCTTATATTGCGAAACCACTTCGCAAATTACGGAACGGATTTTTTAGGCTTTTGGCTGTGTAAGTTTGTCTCACCTTATCAAGCTTGGTACCGAAAAGTTGCTGTAGAATTCTCAAATATATTTCTCTGCTGTAGATTCAGCGTTTCAAGGGCTGTAGTAAAATATATTTAACAGCTCAAAGCTTTATAAACATACTACATACCACCTAAATCATTTTAAACGAAACTAATAACTCCATTCAAACACTTCTAACTTCAAAAGCCTTCTACGAGGCCTCAAGGTGTTATAAAGGCATTTATAACTGTGCTTTACATCAAATGCCCATTCAATAGATCTATGACTAGTCTTTCTATCTCTCTTAAGGTTAATTTTACCGTTGCACGGTTATTGTACGACTTGCCTGTTTAATTACTTTTGAATACGCTAATCCCTTAAAGAGCTAATATACAACGTTTAGGTTACACGTAAATCATTTAAGCGGCTTATGTGCTAGTTGGGATACTCCGTAAAATTTATCTTGATTAGAATGACAAGTTATAAGTAAGATAAGACGATGTAAATTGGGAGCAGCGTCCTTCAAATCATATTTTTTAAACATCACAAAACCATAATTATTTTACATACTTACGTTACCAATTAACATACGGTAATTGAAATTCACAAACCATTGATCATCTCTGTTGGAGTTAATGCGTTAAAAACCTTTGTTTATTTTAGCAACTTTACATGATAAAATTACGTCTGAAGGGATAAAAAGTGTTGGGACACTTCGAAAATATGGAATCAATCAACTCATCCAGTCGCGATATGGTTTGGCGGTAATTTTTAAAATCTGGAAGGTGTGTAGGTGTGTGAAGGAATTGATCAATGAGAAAGTTTAATAACTTTTTGCCGATTTAAACAAAAATTACTCTGGAAAAGTGCTTCTCTATCAAATACTGGACTATGCAAACATTCCCTATCCAGATTTGTCAGTCACCCTACTCAATAAATTGGTACGGCTTGGAAGTATGTATGTAAGGGTCATTTTCGGACTTCGTAAATTTGGCCGTCTGCCAATTTCGCGCACTACTTAAATGACTACCCATCCACGGACGTAGAGATCTTAACATCATTTCCCATTTTTACTCTATTTTATTTTTCCTTTTTCACCTTTCCTTAAAGATCACTTTACTTTCCTCTCTTCTATGCTCTACCGTCCCTTTCGCTCCTCTGACACACGAGGAGGAGGAGGTACGAGAGGACATGTTTAGTATGTAAACATGTCCTCTCGTACCTCCATCTTTTGTTCTTTGGTTGGTCAATTATTAAGATCACTGGTTGCAACCCTTTTGCATATCCTAAATTTGTGTCCTTAGGTTTCCTGGAAGGAATTGCTACAAAGCAATAAGGCCGCCTATTGCACTTTAACTTATTGCCATAATAGTTATTTGTTATGAAAGGCTACAAAGTTGTTGTTTGACGCGAGCGCTTGTATTGAAACCTGAGCAAGCGAAGGAAGTTAAGATTGAATCAGGAGAGTAGCGAGGGCTTGAAGGCACGAGACGCAAAACAACGTTGCTGCCGACCGAAACACATAACATTTCACCTCAGTATAACGAGGAAACTGGCAGATGAAAGAAAATCAGTTGAACTGTAAAACATCAGTTTTTTTAATCAAAAGAAAAAGTTTACCTTCGGATGAATTTGCACCTCATATTTTTTTATTCTTGCTTGTGCTCGTGTTTTTGTGTGGTTAAGTGATTATTAAAATTATTTTAGTTCTTCGACAAATTAAAATAATTAAATTAAAATAAACACAATTAGTTATCATTGTCAATTTAATGTCAACAATAATAAGAATAAAATATACCTAGGGATTTATGCTACTTATATAAGTAATGTACGACAAATTGCGTAGTTGAACGTGTCATTATCTTTTTTTTTTCATTGAAAAAAACGTTAGGTTCACCACAGTCCATCGTCAAGTTCGAATTTTAAAAACCTTTTCCACGGTAGCGTCCAAAAATGCTTTTGCACGTGGTTTCTAATGAGAAAAAAGCCTTTCCAAGCTAGTGAGGTGAAAATAATATTTTATTCATTCATTCATTCATTTAAATTACTGAATTCGTATAATTTATAAAAAAAGTTCTGTGATTACAGTCTCGCAATACGAACAAATTAATTCATAACTTTGACCTGCATTACCGTGATGTGCCTCCAAATATTTTGTAGATTTTCACTCACACCTGAATATTTAAGAAATATTTGGAGGAATTAATCCTTGTAATGATGCTTTGTATCGGAATTATAAACAGGTTTTTTTTGGATTTTTCTCAGTGTAATTACTTACTTTCCAACGTAAAATAATGTTTCCATGAAGCAAAATATCCTATTTACTATATTGTAAGTACTTTCCTAATAGTTAAAATACTTATTGTCCAGACGTGGTGACATGACATATTAAGCACAAGAACATAGTCCGTGACGTAGGGATCTTCGTCGAGGACAATCAGTATGATAACATGGTACAGATCAGTATCAGTTGGCAATGTTGTCCATGACACGAGAGAACATGACAGGATTAGATTGGACGTGGAGAAAGGTAAGATGCGGGCGAAAGCACGTCCATGACGTGGAGACTTTGTGTGCTTAGCATGGTAGCAGTGTCGACGACGCTGGCTCTTGGTCTACCTATTTGTGATATTGTTTCACACATAGGTATATAGCTATAATGACTTCCTGCCCATGGTTAACATTTGCTAATTTCGAGTGTGAGATCTAACTTTATTGGTAGCAAGATGGGAACGCTGGAAAGGAGCACTTGAGTCTTAGCTGCAATCATCGAAAACAACAAAAAGAAGAAAGCCGGCCTTCTTCATTTCGGCGATCAGGAGCTTCAGGAAATAAAGAAGTGTAAAAGTGTAAAGTGTTCAGATGAGTTGAGAAGGAAGATTTTACAAAAGGAAGATATGACATTAGATATAATTATTATTTTATATAGATAAAATGACATTAGATAAAATTGTAGTAGAATCTATAGTCTTACAAGCTGTAAATCGTCAATTGGAAAAATGCGAGTAGTCACAAAATTAACAAAATCAATATATTTACAGTACAATATCAAGGCACTGTGAAATTCATAAATAGAGACTTTGTATTAATAATTCACAGAAGACAGACGTTAATCCATCTACTCACAAAATCTCAAACATTCAATATATTAGGCTAAGTTTGATATATCGCGTTCTAAACGCACAATTATTCAAACACGATCACTTGCATTAATGCCCGCAAAGAATAATAAATAAATAAATACCGCACACACTCAACATAGCCCCGTACTAGGGAAACCTTGTGTCGCGGGTGCCATGGACACACACATAGACAACCACAAATTACACCCAAAGTCACGAGAGAAATAAATGTTGGCCATACAAATATTTGTCCCGGCCCGGGGATCGAACCTGGGACCTCTGCGTGGCAGTCCGGCATGGTAACCGTTCGACCAAGGAGGCAGTGAATATAAAAAGTAATATATTATATCTTTCCGAAATGATTTTTCAGATCAATTCTACTATATTTTAGCTTTTCAGATGCACATGTTTGTACAATGCCTCTTTTTAATCAAGGTCTCTGTATTAAACTATAATAAGTTTTTGCAGAATAGATTTCACAACCAGCTGCCCGCAGATCTCTTTTTCTATCCTACAGTTAACAAATATATGTAAATAATTTATAGTTCCAATCTTTGTAGTTATTAAAAATAGGTACTCACTAATATTTATACAACAATACAACAGCAAGTAATAGATTTTTTATCACATTTCAGAAAAAATCATATTTCATTCACATTATATTAGAAATTTACTAAAAAATATTTTTTAAATTTATATTTGAAAGTCGCGTTCAAACCTGTATGTCTGATACTATATTTCACGGAAGAAAGGTGCGTGAACTTCATTTTTCTCCTGTTGGTGTGATATGGTATGACAGGCTGGTGTCCGCAACTTGACGTCTAAGCGCCTATTTTGCGTTTGTACATAAATTTCCGATATCTGCAGTCTGCCTTCTCAAAGATTAATTACCTTATACGTCAAAAATGTTTTTTTATTAGTAAACATGGAAATAAAATAAAAAAATGTAATGAATCTAAAAGTTAATAAAAAGTTAAATTTTAACTCGAGTTTTAAAGTTTGTATTATGGTTTTTTCGCTTTTTCCTCCGCGAAGTATAAAATCCTTGAGAAGGTACGCCAGAAAACGCGGTGGGAGCAGACCCTTGACATAGACGGATCTATGAGACGTTATCTTGTGAGGTACCGGGGCGAGGCGATCGTCATATTTGTTATTATGCAGAGAGCATGTCGCATTATATTAGCCTCTGCGTTTGAACCATTAGAAAGAAAGAAATAGTTTAAACAAATAGTAAATGTTTTTTTATTAACGCACATAGCAATGACATAATCTCGGTTATACAATAATACAGATACAATAATATTTTTACACAATTAAAATAAATTCTAAACAGGTATGTTTCAAGTTATTTAAAGTGGAAAGTTGTACATGTAGTAAAGTTTTGATTATATTATACATACATACATTACTTTTCCTTTGGTGGACTTGTGAAACAATTTTAATGTTGTATTTTATGTTGTATTTTATGTTGTATTTTATGTTGTATTTTATGTTGTATATTATAATATATTATTACTGCAAAAGTTCACTATAGTTCACCATACCGATTTTTTATAAAAACTAATATGACTAAATGGCATATACCAACTCTTTGGCTGGTAGTATCATTAATAGCAATAATTTTAAGAATTTTTATAAAATGTGAGAAAGCTAATGAGATAAAAGTAAACGGATATGATGCACAGGACTACAAGGATTCCAAAGATGCAATTGATTATAATGACGACTTTATAGAAAAATACTCAACAGAAAACTATGAAGATTTCAATCGCTGGGGAGATAAAAGAGATAGAAAACACCTTTCAACTGTTCGTAATAAAAATATTGGAACTGGCGAAAGAAAAACACGGAAGAATCAACGTACTATTCGATTCAGAGCTGGGAAAATTAATGGCAACAAAATTGAAAAAACTAGGAAGCCATTGAAAACTATTAAATATACAGAGAAAAGTTTTGTCACACAAAATAAGAACCGTTTTACTAGAAAATATTGTGTTGACGTAAATAACACTCTTCGAGGTAAAATTGCTTTTCTTTTTTTATTCATCAGACCTATAAACATATCCGTAGAGCTATAAACAACTTTCTGAGTACATGAGTCTTAAACATCTGAATTGCACGTGAACTGCAGTATTGCCTGGAAATTATTCTGTTACACAACGATGTTTCTTTCGGTGAATGGCAGATTCTGGAAGATGCAGATTCTGGAAGATGCAGATTCTGGAAGATGCAGATTCTGGAAGACGCAGATTCAGGGAATGAAACTTCTGGACAAACTACACGTTTAGGAGGACGCCGTTGATTGCGCATTTTTATTGTGACTATCTTTTTAATGTAAGATTACAGAACTGATTACTACAGCGAGAATGCATATTTCATAAAAAACAAAATAGTGCACTCATCACACTTTCACAGATGTAAACTAATTCTCTTTTTACAAGTAATCTATATACCTAACCGTTAGTGACTGTCCTGGTTGATTTGTTTTCCAGCTCGGCACAAGTCTTGTTTCCTGCGACCAGATACTGGACCTTGCCGCGCCGATATTATACAATGGTACTACGATGCTCGTTTAAATAAATGTTTTCGCTTCTTCTGGGGCGGTTGTCAAGGCAATGGTAACAAATTCGAAAATAACAAAAATTGCATGGGGTACTGTTTCTTGAATTCTTCTTTAAGCAAGGGTGAGCAAAGGTTGTAAGGAGTCTGCGAAAAATTATTACGAATAATGTCAAATTAAAATAATATAGAATCATATTTCAGACAAAATGCCCTACTTCTGCAATCTGCCATTTGATTTTGGGACATGCTTTGGGCATTACTATCGATGGTACTGGGATAGATACACAAGGTGAGTTTTCCTCATATTTTTGTTATATTCAAACAGGCATACAGTCTTTCGGCACACGTGGAATGGAAAATAAATACCTTTGTTTATAAACACTCGTTAAGGTGGTTTTCCACCGGCGAGGCGAGGCGCGACGAGGCGAGATGAGGATTGAAATTTGTATGACAAAATTTCAATTCTCTCCTAGCCCATTGGATTGACTGGATTGATTATTAAAGAATTTTTAAGCACAGAAAGTGCTTTCCACCGGCGAGGCGAGACTAGGATTGAAATTTGTATGGCAATATTTCAATTCTCTAATAGCGCATCTTAAGTGCAATCTTAAATGGTCCGGATTGACGAGGATGGACGAGGCGAGAATTGAAATATTTGTTGAAATATTGTACTCTGCAATGGAAATACGCGATGGCTATCTATACCAATCGCGAGATTGTGGGGTACGTATAGTCAACAGCACATCAAGCTTGACATTTTGTACTTTGGACCGTTCTTATCGTAAGCGGCATAGAGTTGGATTTAAGTCTTAAGTGTAAAGCTTGACGTGCTCTTGACCCGGTACAATTTGATATTTAAAAAAAAGATGGTTTCATCTGCTTCTTCTTTCGTTAACATATTTAATAATAATAATTTACGGGACATGTTGAACTGAACATCACTGAATCTTAACTATCCACACTTACACCGCGAGCTCGCGCGAGATATCGACGTGATTCTTAGCTATTAATGGCAGTTTTTGGTGAAAATAGGCCGTCACGCCTCGTCTCCTCACGCCTCGGTGGTGGAAAACTACCATTAGACATAAGATTTTGAGCCTGTGATTGCGATAGCAATTATATATCTTTATACTTCAATGCGTAATCGCTGCTGTTTAGCGGTAGAAACAGGTTGGTGGTACCTTCGTAACAGGCACAGAACGCCACTGCCAGTGAAACCTCCTTTACATTTTGTTAAATTCTAAGACATTAGTCTTTTAGGATACATTTTATGAGTGGTTCGTTACTGATTACAATTATCCTGAAACGAAAATAGACAATCCAATTCTGTCTTTTCGTGTTTTACAACTTGGTTATTTTCAGGGTTTGTAAACGACGTCTGTACTCGGGTTGCGGTGGCAACCAGAATAACTTCCAAAGCTACGATGAGTGTTTCGGCACGTGTGTTAATAAACCCAACATCACTATATATATAGGGGACAAAGGGACAACTTGCTTTCCTATAGACTAAGTATTTATAGTTACCTTGTTCAAAGTCGTTGTCGTTATAGTTACCTTGTCGTCGTAGGAAACGCAGCTGAAGCTCTACATTGTAGAAAATAATATTTCCTTCCAAAGACGCTACGCAATGAAGTACTAAGAAGTATTTTTGATTAGGTAAAATAATAGTATTTTATGCAATCGTTGCTTAATAGTGAGTTAGCTGTGTGGTGCTGGCCTAGAATAGCACCAACCCCCTCTCATCCTGTGGGTGTCGTAAAAGGTGACACGAAAATTGCCAGAAGAAGACGGGCAGCAGCGTCTTTTACCCATCTTAGCCAGAACTGCGATCGCCAACCCGCCTGGCAAGCATGGCGATTATGGTAAAACCCCCTCCTATGGTACACACGCCAAAGAATTAGCCCCTAGTCCCTGGCAGTCGTGCTCTTCCTACTCACGGTAGCGGCTTTGGAAACAGGGCATGGCATGCGAAGAATCTCCGGGGAGACTCGGGGATTCTTCGACATCAACGACGACGACTTGACCTGGCAGCCAACAACACGCGCACATTGAGGACCGCAAAGCTCACAGAATTGGAAGAAGCTATTAGTAAGCTACGCTGGGGTATCATTGGGCTATCTGAAGTTCGAAGAGAGGGGAGGACTCGATAATTCTTAACTCCGGTTGGGCGACCACCAGTCCCTTGGCGATGTCGGGTTTATCGTCCACAAGTCCCTTGTTAACAACGTGATTTTCATCGGAAGTGTGTTAACCAGGATGGCATACCTGATACTCAGAATATCAAAATGATATTCGTTGAATATCATTTAGGTTTATGCTCCGACCTCGACACACCGAGATGACGAAATGGAGGAGATCTTAAAAGCCATGCATAGCTACAAAACCCACTACACGGTTGGGGCTTCAATGCGAAGTTGAGAAAGCGTTGCGGTGATGAGCTGAGAGTGGATCAATTTGGAGTTGGGCAACGGAACCCCAGAGGCTGGATGATGATCGTTTTTATGGAAGAGGAGAACCTCTATATGATGAACACCTTTTTCAGGAAATCTCCAACTTGAAAATAGACCTGGATGAGTCCGGACGGTAAAGTAAAAAATGAGATTGACTGTCGACAAAAAAGCATATATTTAATGATGTCTCTGTGATCAACACTGTTAAAACAGGATGTGATCACCGGTTGGTACGAGACACATTGAATATCAATATCAAGCTTGAAAGATGTCGACTGATAAAGTCTACGCTCCGACCAATAGCTGCACAACTCCAAAACACCGAGAGCTTTCAACTCGAACTTCAAAACCGCTTCGAAGCCCTCGAAAGCAGTATAGATGTGAACGATCTGAACAACATGGTGGTGGATACTGTCCGTACGGTTGGGTTCAAGTTTTTCAAAACCCACCGTTTCAGAATGAAGAAACTCTTCGCCTAAACACTCCAACTCATGGAACAGAGATGTGAAATGAGGCTACAGAACTCAGAGGATGTAAATCACTACAGGTGGCTAAAGAGGCAGATATATAAGTTTTTGATTAGCGACATTCGCCAATTTAATACAGAGTCTATTAAAGAGGCCATTGAGCGAAACAAAAGATCCAAGGTGTTCGCGAGAGATCTGTGTATTGGGCAAAGCCAACTGGCGAAGCTGAAAACTGATGACGGTAGCATCATTTCATCTAAGCCTGAAATCCTGAGGGAGATAGAGAGTGCTATCGACAGCTATACTCCAGGAAAACACCTGTTCAAAGCGAGGCCGAAGACCCCAGAACCAAGCTTACTGGACATTATACCGAAGATTTCCCCGACAACAGAGAACAACAAAGCTGCGGGCGATGATGGAATCACTACAGAACTGAGGAGAGTGAGGGCGGCAAGCCGATACTTAAAGTCCTCCCTCCAGAAGCTTTTCAATTCTGTCATCGTCGAAGGTCAAATGCCGAAGGTATGGGGCAGAAGCAAGGTCGTCCTGTTCTTCAAAAAAGGTGATAAAACACTCTTGCATCTTGAAGAACTATCGACCAATCTCGCTTCTGAGCCATATCTATGAGTTGTTTTCGAGAGTTATCACGAATCGTCTCGCTACCAGGTTTGATGACTTCCAACCTCCCAAACAAACCGGTTTCCGAAAGGGTTTTAGTACCATAGACCACATCCATACTCTGCCGCAGGTTATACAGAAGACCGAGGAGTATAACTGGCCACTTTGCTTAGCTTTTTTGGACTATGAGAAGGCCTTTGATTCGATTGAGACCTGGGCGGTGCTGCAGTCTCTCCAAAGGTGCTTTTTTTTTTTTTTTATACTTGACAGGCAAATGACTCCACTCCACCTGATGTTAAGTGGAAAGTGGTATCCAAACGCGAAAGAACCTAGTGCAGCGATGAAAGCTCACTGCACTAGCCACCTCCACCCTGCCTGCCTACAATATGCCTCTTCACGCCTCGTTTGAAGGACCCCATATCATAAGAGGGAGGGAAGACATGTGCCGGAAGGGAGTTCCATTTGTCAACCGTGCGGCAGAGAAAGGAGCCACCAAACCTTTTAGTACGCGATGGAATGCGGCAGGTAGTGAAACGGTGACTACGAAGGCCAGCACGCGTGCTTCTGAGCAGGAGCGGGGAAGGGGGGATGAGGTTGAACAGCTCTTCAGAGCACTCACCATGGTACATGCGGTAAAAAGCGCTAAGCGATGCAACATCTCTACGCAGTTGCAGAGGTTCAAGGCGTGATGAGACCTCTTCGTCGCCTATAATTCGAGTAGCACGACGCTGTAATTTATCCAAGGCATCGAGTAGGTACTTGGCGGAGCCGTCCCACAAGTGCGAACAATACTCAACGCAAGACCGGACCTGTGTTTTGTACAGCAGGCATAACTGGTCCGGCGTGAAAAAACGTCGCACCTTGTTCAGGACTCCGAGGTTCCGTGAGGCTGTTTTGATCACAGATTCGATGTAGCTCCTTGGATTCAAATCACAGCAGATTTCCATACCGAGCAAGGTAAAACTGCTCTGAGGTGAGAGTGCTGTGCTCATCAGAGAAGGCATGGGAAGGAACGGCGACAATTTTGTTGTTAACGCGCAAACCTGTGTTTTCTTGGCGTTGAACTCAACAAGATTTCTAGATCCCCATGCAGAGATGAGGTCCAATATCCTATTGAGCTCACCGACAAGATTAGATCGCTCTCTGTCAGTATCGGCGCGCCCAGCTGCGGGGAATCCGTGATATCCCCCATGAACAGTGCTATCATCTGCATAACAATGAATATTCCCAAGTGGAAGCATATCATTGATATGCAGTAGGAAAAGCGTGGGAGATAGGACGGATCCCTGCGGTACGCCGGCGTTCACATTCACGAACCTCGAAATGCTGCCGTCAGAAACGACGCGAATTCTCCGCTCACGAAGGAAATCGGTAATCCAGCTGCATAACTGGGCTGGCAAACCGTACGCCGGGAGCTTGGAGAGAAGAGCTTTGTGCCAGACCCGATCGAACGCTTTGGCTATATCGAGGCTAACAGCCAACGACTCGCCACGTTTGTCTATAGCCTCACCCCAAATATGCGATAAGTACGCTAGAAGGTCACCCGTTGATTGTTTCGGACGAAACCCATACATTAATTATGGAGTGATCTTCTAGGTATTGGGTCAGTTGTTTGTTAAGGACCTAGTAGACTATAGGTATATCGAGGTGTTCAAGTACTTATACAAAAACGCCACTGTGTCAGACCGATTACAGGATCAGAGCTCTAATCCTATCCAACTGCAACGACGCGTCAGACAGGAAGATGTGATATCTCCGAAACTGTTCACTGCTGCGTTGGAGGATATTTTCATGCTTCTGGACTGGAAAGGACTTGGCATCAACATCAACAGCAAGTATCTAACACACCTTCGATTTGCCGATGATATAGTTCTTATGGCTGAGACCTTGGGAGACCTGAACACAATGCTCGAAGATCTCAGTAGAGTTTCCCAAAGAGTGGGTCTTAAGATGAAAATCATGTCGAATGGCCATGTTTTACCCGCTCCAATTAAAATTGGGAGCACTACACTCGAAGTTGTTGACCATTACGTATACAGACAGTCCAGTTAGGTAAGTCCAACTTTGAGAAAAAGATCTCTCGTCGAATCCAGTTCGGATGGGCAGCGTTCGGGAAACTACAAAAAATCTTCGCGTCCAAATTACCTCAGTGTCTCAAAACGAAAGTATTTGACCAGTGAGTGTTGCCAGTGACAGTTGCCATATGTGGATTAGAAACGTGGTCCCTCACTATAGGCCTCATACGAAGGCTCAAAGTCACTCAGCGGGCAACGGAGAGAGCAATGCTCGGTATTTCCCTACGTGGTAGAATCAGAAATGAGGAAATCAGGTAGAGAAGTAAGGTAAGCGACATAGCTCGAAGAATTGCTTAGCTGAAGTGGCAGTCCGCGGGGAACATAGCTAGGAGAACCGATAGCCATTAGGGCGGCAAGGTTCTTCAATGGAGACTGCGCACCGGACGACGCTCAGTGGGTAGGCCTGGTGGACCGACGATCTGGTAAAGGTCGCGGGAAGCTGAGGGATGCGAGCAGCGCATCACCGATAGTTGTGGAGATCATTGGGGGAGGCCTATGTCCAGCAGTGGGCGTCGTATGGCTGAATGATTATGATTAGTGAGGGTTCTTAAAGTCGAGTAGGCCTTCGAAGCTTGGCCGAGTAGTCCAAGTAATAGATACGAGATTTTAAGACCGAATCATGTAATGATTGCATATAATACTTTTTCTAGGAGTAAATAAAATAATGAAAGAGAACCGATATTTATTAGTACATTATTGCATAAGCCGGGAAGTACGGGATTGCTGGTTGAGTATAAGTTACAAGGCCGAGCTCAAGTCAAGCAATACCCGTTCCCGCCGAGGCTTATATAGTGATTTTCTCAAACAATGCGAGGAAATAATAGAAGAATAAAGAGAAGATGTATAATAAAAAATTAAAAAAAAATGGTAATTAAAATTAAAAGTAATATTTGACACAGTTTTTTCAGGCACATTTAATAGTGGTCTGCTAAACTTCTGATGACGCGGTTTTCTGTGTATCCATAAATATTTATTTTCATTATCCCTCTTCTTACTAGAACTTCCACGATGAACCTAGAAAAAAGGCCAAAAAGACTTTTAAGATATAATAAAGATTTTTATGATTAGGCCTGCAAGACTTTAGGCCAATTTAATCAATCAGGAGGCAGTATAGCGTTTGACTAACGTCTTATTTGATATTTTAATTAGCCAACATATACTACGTTCTTTTTTTGAAACTCAATATAGTTCTGTGTACAGAACTTTAATGAAATTATTCAGCTCAGTGGCGAGTAAGCCATAGACAATAGAATTTTGAAATTAAAAAGAGTACCTCTATGATAAAAATAAATAAGTAAAAAAAGAAAATTTGGATAATGTTTTTTTCTTTGTTATCCAAAACCTAGATAGAGTAGTGTGAAACCATCCAAATAGGAAAATTTATTATTCTAGGTACTCACTATCTCGGAAAGGCTTTCTTTTTCGTTAGAAACGCAAAAGCGTTTTTTTAATTCAAGTTTTTGAATTTCAAACTTGACGATGGATTGTGGTGCATATTTTTTCTTTCGATGGAAAAAATAACATAATGATACTTTCAACTACGCGATTTGTCGCACATTACATTTATGTAATATAAATCCGTTGGTATATTTTATTATTATTATTATTGTTGACATTAAATTGACAACGATAACTCATTGTTGATGTATGAATGAATAAAATTGATTTGTTCTAGTCAACTGTTTTTCTTTTATCTACCATTTTCCTTGCTATAGTGAGGTGAAAAGTTGTGTGTTTCGCTCGGCAGCAAAGTTGTTTTGCGTCTCGTGGCTTGCAACCCTTGCTACGCTCAAGTTTCAATACAAGCACTCGCGTCAAACAACAACTTTGCAGTCTTACATAACAAATAACTATTAGCGGTGGCAATCTACTAAGGGAAGAAGTAATCCTCATGTGCCTGTCTCTGAAGTTGTAAAACCACAGAGGCAGATGGACCGGTGCGACGAGGACGGCTTCACAAAAGTGAAGATGAAGAAGAGGAAGCCCACCAGCCGTAACCAGTGTGGCACAGCACCGACAGGACCGAACTTCCTGCTGCGTCCGGCTATACCGACGACGCTGATGTACCTGTCGCGATTGCATCATTCCACGAAGTCTGAGGAGATAGTGGAATACATCAGATATAAAGGCAAACTCGACTTTCGACCCTCAGGGTTGGACTCCCGCCACAACGTGAATTTCAATTCGTTTGTGGTGAGAGTACCGACCGAACATCTGTCGATCTTCATGAAAGAAGTATTTTGGTCGAAGGGTGTCATATATCGGCGATTCCGCGGCCGGTTACCTGACACCAGATTGAACGAGAAATGATCTTGTAAATTGGTATAAAACAATTGAAAATGCAACCTTACTTGTGGCTGATAATTACATACAAAATTAGAAACTTTTTATTAAAAAAAAAAAGATAATTTAATATTGATTTTCACTCTACCATTACGTTGATAAGATGAGAAGTGCACGAAAAGAGCCTTCCCGCACGAAGTAACATTCTTTTTTTCAACAATTGGCGAGTACTTTATGGCGACTGGCAAATCCTAGCACCACGAGGTCCCACCGCTCAACACCAAAGCCGGTTCTTTGCCCACCTTTGCTCACATCGTGCCCTGCGGGCCCTAACACTCGGCGTGGCTGAATTCTGGGCCACAATAGTATATAGTCTATACCATCGATACGATAAGAAGAAGTACTACACTTGTGAGGAAGATCTTACATAATTTTTTTCAAGAGCCTTTTGTGTTTATCTTTAAGATAAGCACTGGAATTGAATAATTTATTTTTTTGTATTAGTAAATTTAGTTCATCTGCCTGTGGTATGAGTACCTAATATACGCTAGGGATCCTTCACTATAATCATAAGTATAACTTATGTAGAAAGGAACGAGGCTGAGTTAATGTGCCTACATAAACACTATAAGATTCAATTTACTTTCAAATTGCATAAGTATTATATTTCAAAACATGCAACGTGAGCTAGACACGTTTTTGTTATCTTTATTTTGATATTGCGAAAATTCATATTAAAATGTTTTATACCTTTACCACAAGCCTTTTCAATTCTCAGACAGAAGGACATAAGCTTAGATGAGAATATTCCACTAACGTATCTAAACAGAAAACCTGTCACAATGAAACTCTTTGGGCAGCATATTTATTTATTTTTTGTAATTTTGATGGCGATTTGCATCACCAATGCTGTAAGTACCGACCTATGAATTCTGCGTGGGTTTAAAACTAAAATCAATAGAAACAGATAATAATATCTGTTTCTATTGATTTTAGTTTTAATACAGTTATATATATTATATACAATAAGTAATTGTAAATCTCTATCACGATACTTATCTTGCAATTTTTTATATACAGGTAGGGTGCCGTAAAGCCAAATATCCTGTGGGTAATATTAGAGCAAAATATCCAGATCGTAATAAAGTCATGGTAGTTTCATCCATTTCCTTACTAATTACCAAGGCGTTATTCTCCCTTTAGTTACCAGAGATTACTAAACCGGAACGACTGAATACCCTACCAAACATTCGAAATTCTCATTTAATTAAACCCAGTAGTTTCATGTACTCAGTTCCACATACGGTATTTACTAGACGTAGAGACGCTTAAAGCTTTTCATGCCGGTGTTATGCGAGTTAAAATCTTTTTTCAGTGCACAGTTTGCGCCGCCGACAACAACAAACGGGTCGCCGACAGATTTGTAAAAGTGCTAATGCCCAGAAAGAAGATTATGATACGCCTTCATAATAGCACCTCTCCATATTAGTCTCATACAAATTATCAACTGTGGATTGCTTTACAAAACTTTTCACTGTATAAATACATATTTGTTTTGCAAGCCACTATTTAGGTTTAGAGAACAGGTATGAGAATAAAACTAGTTATTATCTAACAGGCGCGCCGCTCCAAATTGAAAGAAGCAGATCGCAAGGCCCATCTGATAGCGGGGACTACAACACTTAATCCCAAAGTAAATGAAGTCTTGACGCAACTCAACAAATCCACTTTTCTGAAGAAGATCGACAAGAAAAATTACAAACAAATGCTCCGTCAATTGAAAGACATTTTTCACACTACTTCTCATACCGTTTGCGCTCGATGTAGACAAAACTAATTTGTGATTTAATCTGGTGTTTTACTGTTCTTATTATTTCCTTTATTTATGTAAATATCTAACAAAGTAGGTACATTTACGCAGCTATTACTGTATGCAACTTCGTTACAAACTATTATTCAAACAAAATTTATTTATTTATTCCATGTACAAAATAATTTATATATATATTTATTCCTTATCAAAAACTTAAATAATACTTAAATTACAAATTGGCAATTTATCGTACTGGCCACTTTGGATTAAAATTAAACCTGGTTGGATGATAAAAAACCAAAACATTTCACTTGAGTTGTAACGTCATTGCAGTACTGCCTAATTTTGCTTGCAACAATTTAAGGGCCCAAAAACACCATATTCAGTTTCTAGTGGAAACTTAACAAAATGCACCATATTTAGCTTCGACTGAAAAATACTTGAACATAAGAGTAATGGAGTAGCCTTTCTCGTAAATATTAATTAATTTTTATACATATTATTATGTCAAATTTTGTACAAATTCACTTAAAGATATAATAAAGAGTTGGGCAGATACATACATACAAATATTACTACAAATGGGAAAATAAGCTTGTACTATAAGTAATAATGTACCGATATGACAACTAAACGTAAATTCAAATATCCGTAATTCCGAAAACCGTTTTATAATAAAACCGTTACGCTTTCAAGTAATTTTGATGCAACAAAACAAAAGCAAACTTTGGCTTTGTGAGAGCACAAAGCTTTTGTTTTGTAATATTCCTAAAAAAATACATTTGACATTATGAAAATTCGAGTTAACGTTATTTCGGGCAAATGTATTTTCTGACTTCTGATAGGTAATCCCAAGCAGTAAAACGAGTACAACAATATTTTGTTAGTTATTGCCAACGTTATAAAAAAGTCATTTTAAAAATAAGATTAAAATCAACACGACTCTATAGTTTCTTTGTTCCAAATATTTCAATCGCTTATAGTTCGAACAATTGAAAATGACCAAGAAGTTTATTTAGGCTGCTTGAAATAACACTTTTAAATGAAAACTATGATAACACAATATATTTTTTTAGTGAAAATATGATACAAAATCCTGTTTTTAAGTCAAAATGCTCTTTTTGCCGCAAGTTAAGCAAGTTGCGTTGAAAGTTGGTCAAACACGACGCGAATGTCTTTTAGACCCGCAGAAATAGCAGCAGTCGTTCGGTGAAGATTGTTTGGGCCCAGAAACAGCGTTAACGAATGTGCTAGTAAATGGTTGTTGGTAATATTCGTTGTTAGTATGCGCCATTTCGAGTGAGCGAGTGGATTATAATGTAGCCAGGAGAGTGTAGTAGCATCCGCACTCTCGCTTAGTAAGATTAAAGTTTAAAATTCAAAAGGGTAAAGAAATACTGGTAATAAATCAAGTTTTATAAACATTATTCCCGTTTTATTAATATTTGTGATCTTTAAAATGTTTATCTACACAAATATCATAAACTCTCTGCAATGTGTTCAAAAACTGCAAATTACGACCAGCTTATAGATAAACTGCTTATAGATAAATTGTTTATTAAACAAATTTCTTATCTGTGAAAATGTTATTATTGCTCCTTAACATCGAATTCGATGTTATTATTACATTCAAATTTCGAACATCTCTGAAAAACAAAACAATATGACCTCAATTCTAATATCAGTCGAGAGGAAGTTTTATTCGAAATAAAATGTCAATAGCGTTTGCTATAAGCTTTATTTTATTCGAAGATATAAGTTTTATTCGAAATAAAATGTCAATAGCGTTTGCTATTGACATTTTATTTCAAATAAAACTTCCTCTTGATCATTGACTTACAATTATATGGACGTCGGGTCCGCGCTAAAAAGTGTCCGCACTTGTAAGGCGCTAAAATCGTATACAGAGCGCGACACTCCGCTTTAGTCTTCATTTGTTCTACTGACAGCGCGATACTCCGATGACATTACAATTTAAATTTCGAATAGGTTGACTTGGGACATTTTTTTCGTGGTTTTTGTATTAGACCCGTCGTCCATTTATTTGTAAGTCACTGCTCTTGATTGAACAATTGTTTAATTGTGGCAATTTCTTTCTGACTTGATATCGAACGATATGATAGTTGGGACCGATTCTAGTTTGTCTATGAATTAAAAATAAAAACTACGGTTGTGTGACATGAGTGAGAAAAGTTTTTATTTGCCGCCATTTCGCAACATGGGCACTGTGTTCCATTTGCCGCCAAAAAACGTAATTATATGCCCTTTGGTGGCGCGTGAGACAAAAAATATTCAGTTTTCCTGGCTCCATTTGGGCTCAATTTTTGTTTTATCCTAAGGTCGTAAGGTTTGGTTTCATAACCAAACTAAGAGACTAATTTTGTCATTATTTTATCACAATTTAATCGTCTCGATTTGATTTTAAGCTTTTACTTTTTTTCCCGTAATTTATTTTTTGAGATTTCATCTTACGTGCTTAGAATAATAACGCATAGAATGATAGTTTCATATCAAACGTACTGTCACAAGTGAGGCAAAAACCAAATTCATGTAGGCGTAAGCAACTTGTAACTACGCTCGTCGGCACGCACACAAATATACAAATAATGATGCCATGAAATAACATTTCCCTCAAAAGTGGGGAAATTGTATCTTGCTTAACTCATCATTAAGTTAAAGGTGCCTACAGATTTGCCCGACACTGTCGATCAGGTGCCTACATATGTGCTCGGTTTTGTCGATGAAAAACGAATATAGCACTTATTTGTAAATCCAAGATGGCGGACACGATTTTTCAAAATATGCTATATGGGTATCCTTTTCGAGGTATTTGGGGATGCTCATTACGAATATGGCACTCATTTC